TATGTCTAACCAAAGCAAGAAGCCTGTAGTTCAGTGGTTGTTGTGTGCTATAGTTGTTCGTATAAATCACCTTTTTTTCTATTTTTTCGCATTTTGTCATTTTATGGCTTAATAAAGCTTTAATACTATAGTCTGAAGTTTCTCATTGTTGAAAGCTGTGCAATTACTAATTACCTGTAGATGCTCACACACCTGTCCTTTTCTCTTGGTGGATGGTTGCCACATCTCATTATTATGGAGACATAATGTTTAAGCAGTATTTTTTTCATTTGACAAAGCGAGACATTACCTTTAAGTAGTAATTGTTCGTCTGGTTTTCATACAACATTGTCTTAGCCAATTGTTTTTTTCTAAAGTATTTGGTGTACTGTTGGGACTTTTAAGAGTTTCTATTGTCCTCAGGATGTTTTATACAAAAGACATTTAGCACAGCCAGTAATAAGGGGGAGAATTAAGCACTAGAAATAAATTTACTGACCCTTAAAATTCACATGGCTTTTAATAGCATTTATTTTCTGGTTCTCAACCTTGTCATGCCATTTTTTTCCAATCTGTTGGCATTGAAGTGTGATATTTGGTATGACAGTTAATAAGACAGTGTGTCATGTATCAGCATGACCTTGAACTTTGACCTCAAAATTTTGAATGTGTACAAAAGATCTAGTCTGGGAGAAGCAAGTTGTTCGAGTTTTTGCTGTATTTTATAATTTTCAAAATCAGTGGTTATAGGCATGACTCCCATAGTCTAAATTAAATCTTCATTATTCTGAAAAGGTCTTTTCATAACAATGAACAAGAGGCTGCCAGAGTGACAGCAAACCGGATTTTCCTGCATGTAAATGATATCTGCAAAAACAGGATCAAGTCGAAAAATTAATGAATTTTTGTAGGGTTCAGAAATGTAAAGGCCAAAATCAATCCTAGTGTCACTTTTTGCCACTTTCTACAACTCAACAACGATAAAAGCTAACATATTATCTAAATTTGAAAAGATTTCATCACGGCAATTTTGTGTTAATAAACGAACACTGTTTGGCAGCCTTTGAAAATCTGGTTAAAAATTCTTATGGTCTAGGGTGAGGAAATTCAGTTAAGTTATTTCTAATATTAATGATATGAACTGAGGCAAGTCCACATGGGACAAATCTTTTCAAAGGTAATGATCAAGATCAGTTTTGTGATATTTGATAATATAATATAACTAGAGGCTCTCAAGAGCCTGTGTCGCTCACCTGATTCTACTTTGGTTTTGGAAATCATGTAAAAATAGATTAAAATCATAACAGATACCCTAATAATGAGTGAGGCCAAATTTGGTTTAATATTGGTCCTGTAATTTAATAAAAAATCCTGGTGGCCATCTTGAACAGTAAATCGGTAACAAAGTAGCAACACTTAATCAGCACCTAATAAGAAACATTTATGCCATGTTTTGGTTTCATTCCATTCAGTGCACCTCTAGAAGAAGCATTTGTATGTATTTCCCATAGGGTCTTATGTTTAAGGAAGTCCCCCTATTGGCGGCCATCATGGATGAAGGATCAGCTTCAAAGTAACAACACTTGGTCAGCACCTCATAAGGAACATTCTTGCCATGTTTGGTTTCATTCCATTCAGTGGTTCTCTAAAAGAAGACGTTTGTATGTATTTCCCATAGGGTCCCATGTTAAACTAAGTCCCCCGCTGGCGGCCATCTTGGATTATGGATCGGCTTCAAAGTAACAACACTCGGTCAGCACTTCATAAGGAACATTCATGCCATGTTTGGTCACATTCCATTCAGTGGTTCTCTAAAAGAAGACATTTGTATGTATTTCTCATAGGGTCCCATGTTAAACTAAGTCCCCTGCAGGTGGCCATCTTGGATTATGGATCGGCTTCAAAGTAACAACACTCGGTCAGCACCTCATAAGAAACATTCATGCCATGTTTGGTTTCATTCCATTCAGTGGTTCTCTAAAAGAAGACATTTGTATGTATTTCCCATAGGGTCCAATGTTAAACTAAGTCCCCTGCTGGCGGCCATCTTGGATCATGGATCAGCTTCATAGTAACAACACTTGGTCAGCACCTCATAAGGAACATTCATGCCATGTTTGGTTTCATTGCATTCATTGGTTCTCTAAAAGAAGACATTTGTATGTATTTCCCATAGGGTCCCATGTTAAACTAAGTCCCCCGCTGGCGGCCATTTTGGATTATGGATCGGCTTCAAAGTAACAACACTCGGTCAGCACCTCATAAGGAACATTCATACCATGTTTGGTTTCATTCCATTCAGTGGTTCTCTTAAAGAAGACATTTGTATGTATTTCCCATAGGGTCCTATGTTAAACTAAGTCCCCCGCTGGCTGCCATCTTGGATGATGGATCCGCTACAAAGTAACAACACTTGGTCAGCACCTCATAAGGAACATTCATGCCATGTTTGGTTTCATTCCATTCAGTGGTTCTCTAGAAGAAGTTCAAAATGTAAAAAGTTAACGCCGACGACGGACGCCAAGTGATGAGAAAAGCTCACTTGGCCCTTCGGGCCAGGTGAGCTAAAAAGGGCATGAATCCCAGGGACTACCCACCAGTTGCAATGAAAATGTCTTGCTATGGAAAGCAAGCACAAGTGTGGATTTGGTGTGGACATTAAAAAAAAATCAAGTTTTTGACTTAAAAGTCAAATCAAGGTCAGATTTCACATTACACAACACATCACCACGAAGTGCTGCACCAATATGCCAAATATTAAAGGATTAAAAGTTATATTCTGGGCCAAAAAATTTCATATTGGCCTATATTGACCTTGAGGTCAAATGTCAAATGATGCACATATGAATATGTGACAATTTTCCATTTTATTCTATTGTAATACACCTTCATGCAAAGTATCATAAACCCATGTCAAATGATTAAAACAAGTTTTAGCCTAGGAAAGGTTGTATGAGAACCAGAAGAAAAAGAAACATGATTCCCTTAGTGAAAGAGGATGAATAATTCCATAAAAAAAATCTTTACAATGATTAAATGAGAATATTTTCTCGAATTTTTTTAAAAGAAAATTCCATTAGGAATTCACAGGAAAGTACAACTATAACATGTATAATATCAGACTGAAATTTTAATGAGTTTTATTTCATATATAAAGCATTTAACTAGACTTTTAATTACACTTAACACATGTAACTTTCCATTAAAGTATTACCATTATTTCTATGAAATACATTTCACATCAGAAATAATAGCCACACCAGTTCTCAGCTTAAATATTACACATAGATTTCACCAAGAGCATGCACATCATGAATTTTTACCTGTTCATTTTGGTAACTTATACCTGTTCAAATTTATTCCAAATAATAAGACAAGTGTGATGGTCTTTGTATTTCACCTGTGCAGTTTAATCATTTATTCTGTTGAATTAAATAAAAGAGTTCCAATGTCCCCCGCATTGCACATATTTTATCTGTCCAAAGTTCTTTAAAAAACTTTTTATACATTTCTTAAAAGAAATGAAGGCTTAAGAGCGCTTACAATGAAATTTTTCATATAATTATTGTTTCCAACGTACAGAACTCTTTTAAAAATAGCTGATCCACATTGATTTTCAAACATGTCCAAAACATTGCTGATATAAACCTTTGAAAAAAAAAAAAAAAAACAAGAATTGTACTTGTTAGAGTACTTGCAATGCAAATATCCATATAATTAGTATTTCCATGGGGGATAACTCTTAAAAATTATATATACGTCTTGAATTTAGAACTTGTCTGAGTAATGAAATTTTGGCGAATTCTTACAATGCAATTTTTCATATAATTAATTTTTCAATGGGGCATGCACAACTCATTAAAAAATAGTTGGTGGGTGCTAATTTTCGAATATATGTCTGCAACATTGCTGATGTAAATCTTTTATATAAATTTGATACAAATCTGGCAAGAATTGTACAAGAGAGAGCATGTACAATGCAATTTTATTCATAATTAATATTTTCAAGGGCACAACTCTTTGGAAATTGCTGATATAAACCTTTGATATAAATTTTATACAGATCTGGCTAAAATTCTACATGTGAGAGGGCCAACAAGAACGGAATGGACAGATGAATGCGGATATTTCTATCTCCCCTGGAATGTATCATGCATGGGACAACATTAATACAGAGACTTATTGAAATTTCTGGCGACATTATATACTCATTTCTGTGAAATTAACATGATTAAAATACCATTATTTCGATCTTCACATGTATTTTATTCAGAATAAAAAGTATCAGTTTTGGACAACATTCATATTCAGTCATGTCATTGGATTCTACCTATTTTCATTGCTAAAATTTCATAGAAGTTTTGTAATTAACAGAACAAATGATATTGTAGAAAATATGAAGGCATTTTGCATATTAATAGTTACATGTCATATAGAAATTCATAACAGTTAAAAAACCTTGAATTTCAATACATACTAGAAAAGGACACTATAATGTTATAGCGAAGAGATTCTTGTTAAAACACCTAGTACACTTAATTTTTTTTTAATCCACCATTTTCTACACAAGAAAATGACTGTACCAAGTCAAGAATATGACAGTTGTTATCCATTCCTTTGATGTGTTTGAGCTTTTGATTTTGCCATTTGATTAGACTTTCCGTTTTAAATTTTCCTCAGAGTTCAGTATTTTGGTTATTTTACTTTTTAAGTAATTATTTTAATTAAACATACAGTACATGTAATGTCACTTTCATTTTGTTTATAAGATAATTTTATCAATTAACAGAAAATGTATTTTTAACCATTCAGAAATATTCTTTTAACCATGAAGAAATATTTTTTAAGAAATTAAAATATTGTTGTTTAGATTTTTATGAAAATAACATGCATTCAATTAAGTGAAGTCTTAATTTGTAAAATATTGTATTAATGATAACAAAATAAATAAATAAAGTATATAACATAACATTGTTTTATATTGTCACAGTATTTATCACAGAATAATGCAATCTGAATGTATAAATATATAAAAATATAAAATGCATCAATTATTGCCAACAGCATATCACATTTCTACAAGGTTAATCTGCAGAGTGATTTTACATGTGTACATGTACAGGCTTGACTTACAACAAAACCCTTTACATTATACAGTATATTCATAAATTTTATCACCAGTGTGTGTTCTCATGTGTCCCTGTAAGCTATTACCATGACTAAACCCTTTACCACATACATCACATTTATAAGGTTTATCTCCAGTGTGTGTTTTCATGTGTGTCTGTAAGTTACTACTTTGAGTAAACCCTTTACCACATACATCACATTTATAAGGTTTATCTCCAGTGTGTGTTCTCATGTGTTGCTGTAAGTGTTGACTCCGATTAAATACTTTACCACATACATCACATTTATAAGGTTTATCTCCAGTGTGTGTTTTCATGTGTTTCTGTAAGTTACTACTTTGAGTAAACCCTTTACCACATACATCACATTTATAAGGTTTATCTCCAGTGTGTGTTTTCATGTGTGTCTGTAAGTTACTACTTTGAGTAAACCCTTTACCACATACATCACATTTATAAGGTTTATCTCCAGTGTGTGTTCTCATGTGTTGCTGTAAGTGTTGACTCCGATTAAATACTTTACCACATACATCACATTTATAAGGTTTATCTCCAGTGTGTGTTTTCATGTGTGTCTGTAAGTTACTACTTTGAGTAAACCCTTTACCACATACATCACATTTATAAGGTTTATCTCCAGTGTGTGTTCTCATGTGTTGCTGTAAGTGTTGACTCCGATTAAATACTTTACCACATACATCACATTTATAAGGTTTATCTCCAGTGTGTGTTCTCATGTGTCCCTGTAAGTGATGACTCAGACTAAACCCTTTACCACATACATCACATTTATAAGGTTTATCTCCAGTGTGTGTTCTCATGTGTATCTGTAAGATACAACTCAGACTAAACCCTTTACCACATACATCACATTTATAAGGTTTATCTCCAGTATGTGTTATCATGTGTCCCTGTAAGCTACTACTCTGACTAAACCATTTACCACATACATCACATTTATAAGGTTTATCACCAGTGTGTATTCTCATGTGTATATCTAGTTTTATATCACTACTGCACTGTTGTGAACACAATTTACATATAAAAGTTTTTGTGTGACATTTCATATGTATCTCTAAGTCTTGCCTAGATGAACAGCCTTTACTACATTTATTACAACAGTACAATGGATCTCCTGTGAGATGTGGGAGTTCTACTTTTAACAATGTGTCAGGTTCTTTAGAAGATATTAATGTTTCTGTAATATTTTCCTCTTTTCTATGTGAAATAGTATGATGTAATCTAGACTTATCTCTCCTCAATTCATGATTTAGCATCCATTCCAGTTTAGTACCATGACGATACTTTAGATGGTTTGACATAAAACGATCACTACTGAAGCATACTTTACACAGAGGACATCCATATATAGCTAAAAAGAAATAATTCAGTAAACAGATTTTTTTATAGCATTTGGAGGCAAATATATACAATACATCTTTACAAATTCATTGTACCCTGGACTTAAAAAAAATTTTGCTCTTAGAAATGTACTAACTATAGCCCAAGAACTGAAAATATTCACAGTATAAATAAATGGAGAATGTGTCTATGGGCCACTGATGCCCCTGCTTGTAAATATGCACGAGTCAACTTCCACATACAGATGCAGGATTCACTTGTAGGTAAGACTGTTTTGAAATTATAAGCATATATGTATAAGTTTCATAAAATTTGGTTGAGGCAAACTAAAGTTTGAGAACTGAAACCACAGATTTAGCAATTTTTCCATTTAAAAAGGGGCATACATTATAAAAAATAAGATGTGGTATGATTTGCCTATAGTACTTTTTTTTGCCAGAATAAGGTTATACGTGCACATGAGAACAAGAAGAAATACTACTCCCACATGGATTCCCTTTGTCAAAGGACAAGGATGTAAACAATTACAAATTATAATTCAGCCTATAACAAAAAAAGTCCATACTGTCTACTAAGTGTAAGAAATTAAATGCAGTTTACCTACTCATTTGGTTTAGGGAACAACCACAACGAGGGGGTTAGATTTATTTACATTGGTTTAACTCTTTTTTTTTCAACAGATATTAGACACATTTTTATTTTTATTTCAACTACAATTATTCAGTAATTTCTTTAAAGTTACATGGTTGATCTCTTGGATTATCAAACTAAAAATTATAGCTGGATTTATTAAAGTTTTACCTTGTAAGTAAATGATGAAGATTTTTTTCATTTTTCTTGTGACACTGGAAATGTTAAAACACTAAATAACTGAGAGTATTGCAAGGCAATTAGGTCGTTAGTTATCTCAATTGAATTGTTTCATATTTTAAATGTTCAATGGACCGTGAAATTGGGATTAAAACTCTATTTGGCATTAAAATTAGAAAGATAATATCATTGAGAACATGTGTACTAAGTTTCAAGTTGATTGGACTTCAACTTCATTAAACACTACCTTGACCAAAAACTTTAACCTGAAACGGGACAGAAGGTCACGACGAACTAACGGACAGACGGACGCACATATGGAAAAAACATAATGCCCCTAAGTGGGGCATAAAAATAGCTGGACCATTAATTTTTTTTATTTTGTCCAAATCATTTGTGTAAATCTAGTGTAAAAAAAGAGTCTGGTAAAGTTCAATAAACAGCTGTGCCATGAGCGCATGATACGCCCGTCACTTTTTCAAAGAATAACTCCTAAATGTCATATCAGAAATTTATAAAAGAGCTAAATTAAGGGAGCTTATGTCAATAGAAATAAAGCAGTAACCAAAGTTTCATGAATACTGCTCAAAGGACTTTCGAGTTATTGTCCGAAAACTGGAAAATCCCCCTTTTTTAATGAATAACAACCCATAACTCTGAAACGTAAAATCTAAAATTAAAAAAAAAAAGAAAGGGAGCTCACGTCAATAGATATAAACAATTGAATATTGTACGACATGAGGATGACGGACAACAGTATACCACAATATGTCCCGTAAACAGGCGCATAAAATTGGTTTACTGGACTAAATGTCCAGATGTTTTTCTCAAAGCCTTGGGAACCACTGTTGTCCCTTATTAGTTAAAAACTCTTTGTACTGCCCTAATCTAAACGCTTACTTAATATGTAACTTGTCATTGTAAATTATATTAAATTAATATCTTCAAGCATGACAAAAAAAAGTGCAGAAAACTGATAAATTGTGTGAATTTTATAAGTCCTAGGACCATAACTCTGCAAAAAAATCAACCAAACCGAACAAAATTCGAACTTGATCTGTAATTTGTCTTGGTAAAATATTCCAAATATCAAGTATGACGAAAAAAGTGCAGAAAACTAATTGCTTGCATGAATTTTCCAAGTCCAAGGACCATAACTCTGCACAAAATCATCAGATCAGAACAAAATTCAAACTTGATTTGCAACTGGTCATAAAAATATGTAGGCCAGGATTATATAGTACAATAACAATAAAACGTAGGACAGCAGTGGTTTTTGGAGAACATTTTAGGTTCCGCTGAGTGAACAACGTCTTCTTCAATGAATGCTATTGATAGTTTAATATATTTGATCAAAATCCTGGTGCCAATTTTACAAAACGGTGACTATAAATCAGATGTCAATCAAACATCAATCAAGATAAAAATTATTAAAAAACACTTACATAATCATATATGGGGGTGTATAATTATATCTGTAAAACCTATCTCAATGCCAAAAACCTTCCCAATCTTGTCCATACCAAACCAGTTATTCTGTACAAGTCTACATGTCAGTGTACAATGCCTAGCTTCTCCATGGATATATCTAGGTTTCGGTAAAGATTTTATATCCTTGCCCAAAAATTTATATTGTGAATTTACAATGTCTACCTTCTCCATTGATATATATATCTTTGCTTCATCCTTTTCATACCTAACATATCAGTTATTCTGTTCAAAAGTCTATATGTCGATGTACAATGCTTTCCTTTTTTATTAGGGATGTCAAACGATCTGAAATTTAATACTGGAGTACTTGGTCATGATACTCAAGAGTACTCGAGTACTCGATTGAATCTTTAACGTCTAGTGAAAAGTTTTGCTTTTTGTTGGGATGTGGTATTTGGTTATTATCTTTCATAAACCTAATTATAATATGATGCCATCTTAACGAAAGACATACGTATTGTTGCAGAACTCAATCTGTATGATTACAGAATATAACTTGTTCCTTGGTTATGTGTATCGCTAGTCCTTTTTGTGTCAATAGAACAATGAATAACAGCCACCGTACATAAAAGCAATTATTGTTTGCGTGTTCATGAACCAAATCAGAAACCCTGAATGCCAATAAAGCAATCAATATGTTAAAAATTCGTAAGGGTTCCGCGGAACCCAGTGTCTTGCCTACTTTTGCTGTTGACTATGTTTAAAGTGTGATAACGTTTGGTTGATCGACGACGTAGAATGTAAGATCGCTATGTCTCGCTTTTGCGACAAAAGTCACAGGCTCAACAAAAATGGGGAAAAAATCATTAAAAATTTTCCTCTAGATACTATCTTTTGATTGTAAGAAGCTTCTGTCCAAGTTTGGAAAAAATCCAGGATGGTTAATGAATCTAATAAATGTTTAAAAACTTGAACTGCAGACTGTATGTAATGTTAACCAGAAGAAAAACTTAGTCCATTTATAAGTAATATACGGAAAAACAGGAAATAAATTTTTACCAAATTTCCTTCTAGATACTAGCTTTTGATCATAAACAAGCTTCTGTCCAAGTTTGGTACAAATCCAGAAAAGTTTAAGAAAGTTATTAAAATTTTTAAAACATTAACCACAGACTGAAAGAAATGTTAACCCCAAAATCAATCCCAGCCTTCCCTTTGTGGTATGGTAGCTTTCAGTACAATTTCAGAGAGATTCATACACTTGAACACAAGTTATTGTCTGGAAACTAGAAAAATGCTTGTTTTTTTGGCCCCTTTTTGACCCCAAATTCCTAAATTTTTGAGGTAATTACCCCCAAAATCAATCCCAGCCTTCCCTTTGTGGTATGGTACCTTGCAGTACAATTTCAGAGAGATCCATACACTTGAACACAAGTTATTGTCTGGAAACTAGAAAAATGCTAATTTTTGGCCCCTTATTTCCTAAACGTTTTGGGCGATTAAAGATAAACCTGAGACTAAGTTATAACACATAGAAGTCTCAGGATAAACCAAGGAATTGTATATTTAAATATACAATTCCTTGGATAAATGTATTTGCGTTGTGAATAGATATTAGTATTTAGAAGGATATTTTAAAAGAACTAAAGTGAGTGGAAATGGTAAGGAGAAATATCTCAAGATTTATAGAAGACAAAAGAGTATCCTAGAACTAAAATTGTACTCGGAACTCAGCCTTCCGAGCGAGTACTCAAGTACTCGTTGCCATCCCTATTTTTTATTGATATATCTTGGTTTCAGTAAAGATTGCATATCAACACTGTCAAATTGCAAAGGTCCCTCCAGTCTAATCCTAACCAGATGAGCTATATTGTCATGACTCTACTACTCAATGTACAATACCTACCTTCTCCATTGATATATCTTGGCTTCATTAAGGATTTTATATCCACTCTATCAATGCCAAGGTCCTTCCCATAGTCTTGTCCGTACCAGACTAGTAATTCTGTCCCTTGGGGTATATCTTTAAAACTTCTGTAAAATATTAGTCCTTTATATTGGTATGCTATCAAATTTTGTTCATCTTCGTTTCTGGCACAATTAACATATCTCATCCAGTTCGACTTGGTCTTGTTATTAGCATCTATATAATGACTGGTGGTTCCATCATCATAGATCTGAAATAAATATAGAAATTCAAAATGGCCACCATTACTATAGGCCTTAAACCACAATTAATTTCAATTTGTTAATGGTCTACCAACATATTTCAAAGAATTATATGAGGTATTTTTTCCTGATTACTCTTTGGACTGTTTTCTTGTTTTCTTTGAAAAGTAAAAACTTTATAAAAGTTACATATATATAAATTAGAAAAACATGTCGCAACAAGACGTTCCACATTTATTATCCTGCTTATAAATATAAATAAAATGCTCCGCTGGGCCCAGCTTGATACGACCGCAGAGGTTGAACCCTGAACAGTTGGGGCAAGTATGGACACAACATTCAAGCTTGATACAGCTCTGAATTTGGATTGTGATTAAATATTTGACACAGCATAGGTTTCTGACACAGAATGAATGTGGTCTAAGAACTTTAAAAATTTTAATTTACCTATTCAAACCATATCATTATTATTTGCTTTTATATATAAATCAGAAATAACCAACTTAAAATGGAAAATTTTAAAGAAAAAAAAAGGGAAAAAAAAAATCCCCCCCCCCCCCCCCCAATTTTGTATCCCCCTTATGATTCATCACACCCAAACTCAATCCCAGCCTTCCCTTTGTGGTATGGTACCTTGCAGTACAATTTCAGAGAGATCCATACACTTGAACACAAGTTATTGTCTGGAAACTAGAAAAATGCTTGTTTTTGGCCCCATTTTGACCCCAAATTACTACAATTTTGAGGCAATTACCCCCCCAAAAATAAATCCCAGCCTTCCCTTTGTGGTATGGTACCTTGCAGTACAATTTCAGAGAGATACATACACTTGAACACAAGTTATTGTCTGGAAACTAGAAAAATGCTTATTTTGGCCCCTTATTCCTAAACATTTTGGACATTTAAATGTATGTATTTCCCATAGGGTCCCATCTTAAACTAAGTCCCCTGCTGGCGGCCATCTTGGATGATGAATCAGCTTCAAAGTAACAACACTTGGTCAGCACCTCATAAGGAACATTCATGCCATGTTTGGTTTCATTCCATTCAGTGGTTCTCTAAAAGAAGACATTTGTATGTATTTCCCATAGGGTCCCAAGTCAGGAGCCTGTAATTCAGTGGTTGTCGTTTGTTTATGTGTTACATATTTGTTTTTTCGTTCATTTTTTGTACATAAATTAGGCCGTTAGTTTTCCCGTTTGAATTGTTTTACATTTGTCGTTTCGGTGCCTTTTATAGCTGACTGTGCGGTATGGGCTTTGCTCATTGTTGAAGGCCTTACGGTGACCTATAGTTGCTAATTTCTGTGTCATTTGGTCTCTTGTGGAGAGTTGTCTCATTGGCAATCATACCACATCTTCTATTTTGTCTTTATTATATTAATTCATCAGATGGATACAAATAGAAATACTTATAACAAAAACATGTGGATGTGACCGAGTACTTGTACATCCCAACAACAAAAAGACACTAAGTACAGATCTGAGAGTACTCGCAGTTACTGACAGCTAGTTCAAAGCCAATAACAACTAATATAAAAAAATTTGTAAGTGTCTCGCCTACTTTTGCAGTTAATCGCAGGCTCAACAAAAATGAGATGAGGAAAAAATTTAATAAAAATATTCCTCTAGATACAATTTTTTTATTGTAAGAAGCTTCTGTCCAAGTTTGGTAAAAATCCAGGATAGTTTATGAATCTAATAAATGTTTTAAAAAATTTAACTGCAGACTGTATGTAATGTTAACTGGAAGAAAAACTAAGTCCATTTATAAGTAAAATATGGATAAACAAGTACAAAATTTTAATAAAAATTTCCTTCTAGATACTAGCTTTTGATCATAAACAAACTTCTGTTCATGTTTGGTACAAATCCAGGATAGTTTGAGAAAGTTATTAAAATTTTAAAAACTTTAACCACAGAGTGAATGTAATGTTTCCTGGCAGAAAAACTAAGTCCATTTTAAAAAAAAATTTACTTCTGGATACTATCTTATAATCATAAACAAGCTTCTTTCCAAGTTTGGTAGAAATCCAGGATAGTTTAAGAGAGTTATTAAAATTTCAAAAACTTTAACCACAGAGTGAATATTTGTGGACGACGCCGCCGACAGAATGTAGGATCGCTTTGTCTCGCTTTTTCGACAAAAGTCGAAGGCTCGACAAAAATCATGCATCTAAGACTAAATTATCAATAAGTACACATCCAACATCCAATGGATTTAGTGTAAAGACGTCATAAATAGTCGGAGAAAAACATGACCTTGTGCAATGCCAAGATACTGGAGTCGACAGATTGTAGATCCATGAAAGTGCATATGTATATAACAACATATCAACTCGCCACTGTCAAGCTGCTGACCAAATCTGAAGATATTGTATTAAGTAGTACCTTAGAAAAATTTTATGAAACAGAAGAATTAATGCAAAATAGCTGTATACAGTGTGCTACAATAATTGATTGTTGAAACATTATTTATATAACAATAAGTTGATGTTCTTTCAAAAAAGCAAAATTCAAAATACTTATAAGCTCAGGCCATAAAAAAGAATAAGTTGGTTTGCCCTAACCCTACCTACCCAGAAAATAGCTGCCTACTAAAATATTTTATTGTCCTGATGTAAAAAAGTTTTTTTTTTAATCAGATAGGCATGAAGACTGAAAAACATAGCAAGTATACCACATCTTCTTTTTTATATGACACTTCAATTTTTCTTTGCTGAAAAAAGGAAAGAAAATGCCTACCTACCTATATAACCACTGTCTCTACCTTTGGGTAGGGTTTGGGCAAACCAAAATATTTTTAAGTGTTGCCCCAGTCTGCTGTTGCTCAATCATTAACATCAATTCACTAATTCATTGTTTCAAATAAGGTTGAAATGGTGTACAGTCTTGGGGTTTGTTTAAATATAACAGCATAGATTTTACATCAGCAAAAACAACAAGCTATAGGGATGGAAGCCATTACAATTTAAAAAGTATTTAACGTGATAAAGCCACCACCCACAACTTTTGCAACATCCTCCTGAAGAAAAACTAATGAACCCACTACACTACCCACAGACAAAAATATAATGTGGTGTCCAACCCTCCCATACATTTTAACCTGGATTAATCCTTAAAAGGGTTTAGAAAGTTTTGTGTCACAGACAAGCAGATTACTATCCGTCTATGCTGAAAATTCAACAGGCCATCATCATTTTGTACTTCATTTTACAATATCGTACTGCATTTGTTTACCAAAACTATTGTATTTGTATTTATATTGTATATTTCTCAGTAAACTTGTATTTAGTTTTTAGAGAATAAAGTATCTAATTTCAAAGTAGAAGTATTTTTTTTAGGATAACAAGTTATGTGTGAAAAATGTATATTCTCCAGAAATATCTGAGACGATAATACAATATGAATGGTACAGTCCTGTAGATTCATTTATTTAAGTGGTACCATTATGGACTCTTGATTTTGTAGTTTTGACAAACTCTGCACATAACCAGGAAACCTCTAGGATATTGTATATTACAGTAAAGACAAATTCTTCATTAAAAGTAAATAATGAAAAGGTATAAACAATGAATCATAATGAATTCACTGCTTATAACAGCATTGAAATTAAGAATTTAAGTGTTCATGCTTCGTTCCCAATATCACATTTCGATTTATAAACTCTCATTTGACATAAACATCAAAGAGATCACTTAATGTTAAATAATAAAACTGTGTGTATGAAGTTATCAATTGATGAGCCTACAAACTACCTTACACCAAAACTTTAACCTATCACATTTTGAAGTACAGCAAACCATGAAATCTAGGTAAAACCCATAAAGACAGATAAACCTTTAAAACTAAAACAAAAACGTAATAAACCTGCCAAGCATAACCTGTGGAGTGGACCTTATCTGGATCAGTTGTTACTTCTCCTTCATACGGTCCAACTTAAACAAAAACGTAACAAACCTGCCAAGCATAACCTGTGGAGTAGGCCTTATTTGGATCAGTTGTTAATTCTCCTTCATACGGTCCAACTTAAACAAAAACGTAACAAACCTGCCAAGCATAACCTGTGGAGTGGGCCTTATTTGGATCAGTTGTTACTTCTCCTTCATACGGTCCAAATCTACTTCTCAGTGGAAAAGTTTTGTCTGCAAACACACCAAGTCCAGCGTTGGGTATTCTAGATTCTTTGACTGACAGTCCCTCTGGTAATGTTTCCATAGCCCTTTCCTCACTTTTAGTTGTGCTCTTAATTAAAGGGAGAAAACAGGTTAAAATTTTATTAAAAATCATTCTTGAAATCTTTTCTGGCTTAAGTAGCTTTTATCCCTGTTTGAAACATGAAACAATTTGTCAAATTCTAAGAATTCTATTTTTTAAGAATGGTTATGCATTTGACTGTAAAAATAGTTTCACATATACCTACATAAGACCATGAACACGAAAGGATTTTAGATTTGATGTGTTAGGTTTATTGTTTTTAAATTCAGTTGCACCTTAATGTCAGATAGAAAAATTCTCAAATAAATTTATAAAGGATGTACACCTCTGAGGACCCAAAAATTTCGAGAATTAAAACTTTTTTTCTTAACACTTTCACCAATAGCCGCTCTGACAGAAGCTACTCTTGAGACGATAATTTCCCTGGCTATTGTGTCAAAAGTGGGAGATCTTCATATTAGACTGAAATTAAAATTAAGTTTGTTTCCCCACACCCTGACCGACTGAAAAAATAGCCGCTGACTCAAATTTTTTTGTGTGTTTCTCTACATATCTTTTTTTATACCAAAACCGGAAGTTGGAGATTGTACCCGAACTTGTTCTGTTTTTATCACATATTTCAACATGGCCAAAAGGATTGGCATGTCAGTGTCTTGCTGATATCCAACAGTTGTTTAGCCAGACAAGCTGGGGCCATGGGACGTCAGAGCTCGTCCCATATAAAAAAGTGGATATTTGCCAGGCCAAAATGGATGCACTACTTAAGTTGCTTCTGGAGCTGACTGACGGCATTGGATCCATATAAATCAGGCCTCAATTTGTTACAATCTTTCACAGTGAAAGTTAAAAGGCCTGAATCGATGGGTCACTGTGAAAACTGCCCAAAATGAGAGAAAAAAAAGGGTGGCAGAGATAAATGAAAAATGAACAAATTGAGGCCCGATTGAAAAAAAAAAAATTTATAAATACATAGATGCCAACCCCTTTGTCCTGTTTGTGGTGCAATCAGAAAAATTAATTTGAGATTTCAGTAATTTGTGATTTTTTTCAGTAATCACAGTAAGTCAATTTTTTTTTACCATAATCATACTATAAACAACTAATGCAAAGTGATGGGCAAATAATATCCTTTATTTTTGACAACTATATATATAGACGCGAAGTTGATGAGCAAGTGAGGACTAAAGACTTGTAATAAAAAGTAGGCTATTTTAATCCTGTTTGTTTATTTAACAAATGTAAATTAACTGTTTCAACTTACTGTCATTACAAATTTTAATTTCCTGAAATGTCCCTCTATCTCCCTCCCATAGTATAACTAAAGTCTAATTCTGGAGAGCCTGGAATGTTGCCGACTTAGCACTTTTCAATTGTTTATTTGTATATGTGTGTCGTAGCACTTTTTGTTGGTAAAGGTCATGAATATTTTCAGAACCATTATTGACAACAAAGTTGAAACAGAAATAATTGGACGTGTGCACGTGTCAGTTCTGTTCTTCCTGATCTGACAAGGAAACTCAATGGAATTTTCAGGACGAAAACGTTGTCCTAATTTTCTTTTCTTTGCTGCAGAAGCACTTGTTCCTGCTGATGACATCGTGAAATCAATTGAGAAGCAAATACAGGGGAATACAAGTAAGGGAAAAAGGACTCATTTCAAATGCCTTCATTAACTATTCGGAATCTAACAAGAAATGTATAAATCGTGCTTAACATATAGAAAATCAGAGAAACCTGAAAGTGTTTTATATTCTGAATCACTCAAACGCTTACGCTTCCACGATAATTAACTACAATCAAGCGTCAAAATGATCACAACATTATCTAAACGACAAAAAAAGTTGAGGACCGGAAATGAACAGAAATCTGTAAAAAGTAGACTGTTGCGGTAACACTGTAATTTCGGCTAAAAAATCGTAACAATTACTGATAAACGGTAATCAGTGTTCTCCCAAGGATTTTTTTAAGGAGCAAAATTCAAGGGCGCGTAACTCTTTTTTTAGAGTGAACGTTTGTGATCTGAAGCAATAAGTCATAAATCATGACATGCAATATGAATTATAATGCTTTGTGTTATGTGTTTAATAATGCAGAGTATTAATGAATTACAAGAATATATATATGAAATAAATTGATTTTAAACACAAAAGTTATTTATATTCAGTCAATTAAAGAAGTCAAAATATAAATATTCATCTCTACTCTCTGCTCCTTCTAGGGATATTGTTTCAAGATAGTGTTATTTTGTTGGACAGTCTGTTCCTCAACTTTATCTTTATCCTCTTCAGGGTTAAAAATTAAACCCCCACTCACAATAACTTTTGATTATACCCCCTTTAACATTTCTAAGCCATGAAAACTCAGTCAGCCACTTGTCATTGAAACCAGAAACATGGTGCTTGCTTTTATCAATTGCTAAAACTTGAGCTTAGTTGGGATTAGGAAAAGCAATGAAATCTGCTTATACTGACAGTGTAGGCGGAGGTGTATTCCCCTTTTCATTAGAAGTCATTGGTGTGAAAACAACTTCTACTTCCATCATCTACCTTTTGCTTATAATTCACCCCTTTGTTATTTGCAGAGAACATATTCATTCAGAATTAATAAAATCGAATATGGTTAATATATTTGGTATACAACTTTTTAAAACAATTTTTTTTTTATAAATGAACAGCTGACCAGTTTCCGTAGTTTCACATTACGCTTCCATGCATATTATTGTTTAATCCTATCTTTGGCGGATAGATATAAACGAAACTTTACAAATTCGTTAAAGTTAAAACCATTGAAATTATTTACCCAGTGACATTATACAGAAGCTGCGGCGGTTCTGTACCCGTGTTGATTGTCACATATTTCCCGACGCACGAAACGATCGATGTTCAATGATCATTTTATTTCTAAAAATATGACAGTTTCAGACGAATTTACCTTGCAAGCAACATTTTTTCACTTTCTATTAAAGTAAATCACTCCTCGTTATCTTTAATCAAACTTTATTTTAATTGTTTCAACTACTAATACTTTCATTCATAGTTTTCATAGTAAATATCTTTAGCAATATGTATTCAAATTTATCATGTGTATTCAACACGTTCATTGGTCGTGTTTAAATAGATTCTTCTTCTCGACCAATGAAAAAAATCGTTATATAAATGGTCAAGTGATCACACACACGATGCGTAAATACAATGTATTTGCGATCTATTTCTTCAATTTCTGCACTAAAGTTTTAAATTTTTTTAATTTTCTTCAAAAAATATCTATCTTCTTGATGATCATTTATGCTATTACCTGATAACATATAGTCCGATAAGGCTGAGATAAGCGTGGCTCAGGTAAAACTAATTATCAGTTATTGCGTAACACTGACCAACCAATCAGCGGTGATCAGTAACTTGACAATTTTAACCAACATTTATAATGAAAATGTGAAAATTAACACGCTGCGGGATCAAGTATTAAGGGACAGCGGCCAATTAAGACGCTGCGGGATCTACAAAAATATTATGAAGGCGCTGCGGCACCGCAGCGTCATATCGGCCTGGGGAGAACACTGGTAATGGTTGGCATCTATGTAAAATATCAATAAAAACTTGTCTGTAGTTATTGATCCTGTATGAAATATTCCACACAGAATGTACACGGAATATAGTAGGAATATTGCATTGAATTCCTACCAGAAAAGAGTGATATTCTAGTCAGACAGTAGTAGGAATCCACACGGAAAATAGCAGAAAAATTTGAATTAGCAGGAATTTCTTAGTAGGAATATTGTATATTCCTACCAGGAATATTTAAATTAGCAGGAATAATTTGGCGGGAAAATAAAATTCCTACTGGAAAACCTGGTAGGAATTTTTCAAAATTCTACATAGAAAAAATATTTTCTAGTAGGAAGCTAAAAATATACAAAATGTAAGTGTATATTCACAAATACACAACTGGGTCAATCATTTAATTTTGAATCTCAACAACAAAGAACAAAGGAAATGCATGGAATAGATTCATGACTTTTGAAATGTATGAGGAAGCTGTGATATATATCCAAGCTATAAATTGTTTTATATAAGTATATGGGCAAAAATGTTGATTAGATGAAATTAAAGAGTAATGAACAAATAATGAGTAAATTTATGCACTATTGTTGAATTAACTGATTACTAAATGTATTGGCAAACATGCAGATAAAAAATTTCATTTAAAAGTATAAAAATTACCTTCAATCTACATGAGCCATATATATTTTCTCATATTTCAATATTGTAGTTGTCATTACAGTCACGTCTCAGTCATTACAACTGAACGGACGTGCTGGGTCAGCTCTCCTTTACCCGCTATCTTCGATGAGGGTTTACAGTTAGATGGATCAACGACTTACTACTTTCGATGACAGAAACCAATCCAACGCTGTACAGACTACGTTAGGCTATAATCCGCGTAGGGGCAAATTCCCGCGTCAACATACACTCCAAAACCCATTATGGATGGGGGAGTGGTATGCCGAGTGACGTCCGAGGGCTGTATCCTAGGTGTTAGATGATGGACCGCCATTTCACTGTCTCACGACTCTGGTCCTGATAATGCTTCCTGTCATCGTTATTACTACGTCCGAGACTCATCTACCAGTACTCCATCATCGAGGTTAGCGGGCTGCCAAGCTGACCAATCTGGCCCTGAAAGCAGCCGTTGTGAAGACATAACATCAAAATAGTCAACAAAAGAAAAACCAAAACAAATCACAAAACCAAGATGGCGGCCTACCAAAATGGCGTCCTCCACCTGTTCCTGACCGATGGCACAAAATTATTTAAACGCTCACCAAACGCCTTCGGGCACCGAGCCGACCGTGCGAGGGATGTATATCCAGTCAAGGTCGTTAAAAACTTCCATTTGTTGTATTGTAGTTGTTTGACCCTTGCAGCATTGTGTTCCAACACAACTGTTCATTCTTCTATCCTCAAACTTTTGAATTTGTGAACTGGAACTTGGTTACATTTAACACAGCAAAATGTGTGTCACTAGCAAACAGGAATCCAGTTTAAGATAATTAAAAAGATTCCATGTAGAAAGATTTTCTAGTAGGAATAAATTAATTCTGGTAGGAATCTAGTAGTAGGAAAATGAACAATTTAATAAGATTTTCTGTCCAAATTCCCACTTCATATTTTCAAAACAGAAAAAAATCCATGCAGACTTTTAAAATTCCAGCTAGATGGTAGGATTTTGCAAGTGAGAAAATAAAAAATCCAGTCAGAATTTTGTTCATTTTCCATGTCCGCCTACTTTCTATATAGAATCTTTGATTCTAGGTAGATTCCTACTACATTCCTACTAGTGTCTAGGTGGAATCCTACTACTTATTTCGTACGGGATGTCTTTATTTATTCACTTACACCATGATGGACACAGTATTGTTAATGTTTTGATATTATTATTGTCAGAAACAAATAAAATTTGTTAATCTTAACAAGGTTGTACAAATTTTGTACACTGAACCATGTCCATTCCAAGTGTTTTTGTACATAAAACGGCATTTTATGTCAAAAAAGTATACCAGTCTGGCTTCAATTCTTCCAAATTCTTAAAAAAAATATGTTCCCTTATTTCAAATTCCAGTAAAATCCATAAATTGCATTTGATTTTGTAAGTTTTCAACAAACAGAAGCGCCATGTTTACACTTTCATCCAGGCATTAAACAAAGAAAGACAGCACTGTTTTTCAGTGGGAAATATAAAGAAGGTATTCCGATCCCGGTAAACATCGTCAGCTGTCCGAAGCATGTATCCCAGTCAACTAGGTTTAGTCGGCGAAAGCGTCAACCTGATTTTTGGGTTTATATGACCATGATGACTATAAGAAAGTAATTGAAGAAAAAATCATATGGTGGTGCACTTCTTTTTTTGCTACAGCAATTTAAAAGTACCCCATTTTTCATTAATTTTTGGGCTATTATCATGAAAACAAACAGTTTTACAATTAAACTTTGATTCATATTCTTTGTTATAAATGATTGAAAAAATACATATCTAAGAAATTTGAAAAGAAAAATTGAAATGGGCAATACAAATTTTGGTAAAATCATTTCTTTGTAACCCTTCACCCATTTTCTCAAAATTTTGGCTAATGACATGCACTGACTAAATTATAACTTTAGCTTGATTAATATTTAAAAAATTCATTGATATTTTCAACTTGTATCGCATGTTTTGGAAAAAAATCCCGAACCAGATTTCAATGAGACTGAAACATCAGAATACATCCTTAGATAAACTGTTGCGCAATACTTATCTATCTTCAAATTTTTTTTGTTATAAACAACATTAACTGAACAATTCTGGCATGTGTATGTGTGAAGCCTACTTTCTTCAAATAATATTCCCAGAAATGGGACAGTCCATTTCTTGTATGTCTGAATATCAACTGAAGTTAAGTGATCTAACTATGTTATTGTACACTCATTTTATACTATCTTAGAATCATATATTTGAATACACTGGTGAACAGGACAATCAAGTTAAGTGATCTAACTATGTACACTCATTTTATACTACCTTAGAATCATATATATGAATACACGGGTGCACAGGACAGTCGCCTAACTTTGTTCACTCATTTTATACTACCTAAGAATCATATATATGAATACATGGGTGCACAGGACAATCTCCTTCATATATCAACCATGTCAACTGAATTTAAGTGATCAAACTATGTACACAGGTGAACAGGACAGTCAAGTTAAGTGATCTAAATTTGTACATTCATTTTATACTACCTTAGAATCATATATATGAATACAAGGGTGCACAGGACAATCTCCTTCATATTCTCTCTCACAATCTTCACAATCTACAACAAGAATTGAAATCATAGTAATAGTGTCTCGATTTTTTTTCACTCACGTGATGGTGTTTGTTCCAAAATTGCTCATTGGTGGGCATGGGGAATGAGAGGCACTCAAATTAATTTTGTGACTGGTTGTATTTGCCTTAGAATTTTGTAAGAATTATAAGTTAAATGAAAATTTTATATTATGTGTGGTTTGCATGCATACATGTCATATGCTGAAACTCTCAGATCAGGAGATTAGCAAGCTAGTCAGTAGCTTAGACCTAAGATCAAGAGGTTATTTTATCAACATTCTTTTACCTAAATGCAACTAATTGTCTGATCTTTTTTTGTGTTTTTTCTTCTATATTCTTTCTGAACATTATATATCCTGTTTTACACTATCTTTGTAGCATGTCTATTTGAACAATATCAGTTGAAAGAATAATTGAAAAGATTCTCTTTCTAATTTCGTATGTAATTATACAGCACTGATCATGGAACACTGGGTCATGTAAGAAGTACAATCTGACTTCCCCGCCATTACTACACTTGCATGGCTCTATATTGGTAACAGTTTGTGTACTGTGGATTCATTTATTTTCGTTGTTTGAGAAAGCTTGCACTTTTCATGGACAATTTACCGGTATTTAATGATACGTCTTGTCAGTCTGCACACAAGTTACAACCTTATGTCAACATTTCAATTTGTGGTTTACCTGTGTAGTCTTATTTTGGGGCAATATATACACAAAAACAAGTATCTCAAGATACTTCAAGAAATCACCAAAAATTATGCATCCAAACCATTGATCATTTGACAACACCATTCCACTTTTCTATTCAATGCCTGTATTTACCTTAATTTTAATCGTCCTTGGCATGTGGCATAAACAATGTAAACAGGTGCCATATCAAGCAATCAATATCCTATCACCTGTTAATTAGCCTAAGAGACAAAATCTACAAGAGTTGCATATTGTCACCAGAAAGCACTTGTTAAACATGCATTCAATGGATTTTTTGCCACAATAGTTAAACATGCATTCAATGTTTTTTTTTGCCACAATAGTGAAAATAAGTAAATTAATGTAGTAAAAAAAGTGTCTAAAAAGCTTTCATCAATTAGATTTGTGATACATCAGACTTTGATCTCTTCAACAGGAGTACATAAGGAGACAGAAAGTTCACATGTATGGGTTGGGGTCTCAAAAAGTGATTCCTATGCCCCAATGCATTTAATTTTGGGAATAGTATTAAAAATGAAAAAGTAAATGGACAAACAAAACAATTACTAGTAGTTCACATTGACCCATTGAAGGCAACTTACAAATGAATTCATCATCATCAGGTACTTCTAGATACATGTAGTTAGTTCTGGGTAGCTGTCTCTGTGGATATCGATGTACTTCTTTGTTTTCTTCATCTTTTGGCCTTGACATTTCTTTCTAAAAAGAAAACATTTTTTTAGTGGTTTAGAGAATCTATACTACTAAATGAGCAGACTTATTTTTGGCTTTTCTTCAAACCAATCAAACCACATTTGAAAGTATTTTGGGTTGCCCAAATCCTTCCCAGAGGTAGAGACAGTGGGTAGGTAGGTAAGTAGGTATTTTCTTTTCTTTTTTGACAAAGAGAAATTGAAGTGGCAGATGTTTTTTCTTCATGCCTATCTGCTTAAAAAAAAAACTTTTTCTCATAAAGACAATAAAAGATTTTGAGTAGGCAGCAATTTTTTAGGTTAAGTAGGGTTAGGGCAAACAAAATATTCTTTTTTATGGCCTCAATGGCTCTGTATGCTAAATGAATGCAAACTAGTTTGTTTATATCCATCCTAATGATAATTCATTTAAAGGTTAGTCGATTACTTGATGTCCTTTCGGTCATTACATCCCCCTCACTCCCTGATGTCTCAGTCCTTAATAATCTAGGACTATAGAATAACAAAACAAAGTTTATGAAAAATTTAGCCTAACAACTCAGCTATTGAACAAATTTTACATAGCAAACTTGGCCTAGTACTACAGTGATTGGCCTACAAACTTGGTCTTTCGCAGAATAAGCCTATAACATTACCAATTTTCATGGATATAATGGGTATAGGTTAACCATTGATTTTTTTTTTTTTTAAATTCAAGATGTACACTTTTTTTAAGGCCTGTATGTAGACTTTGGCAAAAATCGCAAAATCAAATATACACGAAAAATACAAAATTTTCTCAATCTACAAGAATAAATGAATCTACAGTAGCCTGATTGCTTATAACATCTAAAAACAAGAATGTGTCCATAGTACATGGATGGCCCACTCGCACTATCATTTCTATGTTCAGTGGACCGTGAAATTGGGGTCATAACTCTAATTTGGTATTAAAATTAGAAAGATCATATCATTGGGAACATGTGTACTAAGTTTCAAGTTGGTTGGACTTTGAACTTCATCAAAAACTACTTTGACCAAAAAATTTTAACCTGAAGCAGGACGGACGTACGCACAGACCGAAAAACATAATGCCCCTAAGTGGGGCATAAAAATACCTAATTACCAAAGCTTTACATTTGAACACTGCTAGACACAATGTATACAATGCAATCCTTTCATACACCAAAAATAGATAATATATTAAATATAGTATATGCAGATAAACTGACATAACCATAATAAAAACTTATGATCGACCAATGAACCATAACAATGAGGTCAAGGTCATATGAAATCTGCCAGACAAAACGTGTACACCTTACAATTATTCCATACATTAATTGTATAATCTGTAATGCTTATAGTATTTAAGAAATAGACCAAACCACAAAAAAAAAATCAATACTTTTTCAATACTTAAAGTAACTATTGCTTTATATAGTGTGAGATAAGGACTTTACTTACATTGATCACTGATCCATGAAATTAGGTCAAGGTCAAGTGAACCATGTCTGACAGACATGTAGACCTTGAAAGGATCCCATTATCTAAAATAAGTATTTCACACGACAAAAAATATATATAGTTTTTTTCTGACATCTGCTGAACGGAAAATGAGGTCAGGGGCGGATCCAGCCATTTTAAAAGGGGGGGGGGGGGGGGGGTTTCCAACTATATGTCCCCATTCAAATGCAATTGCTAAATAAAGGGGGGTTCCAACCCTCGGAACTCTCCCCCTGGATCCGCCACTGGAGGTCAAGGACAATGGACATAAGACAGACAGAAACTTTGCAACTTAAGGTTTCTGCATACAAGGTATGACACATCCAAATCTTCTATCCTCTGAAATGTAGTTTTACAAAAGTTAAGTTTTTGCTGCTGTCTCAGGATAGTAATCCGCATATCTTGTATTCTGTGATTTTTATTGCAGGCAAGACAAAAATGTCAAATTGTGGAGAATTACTAGGTATAAATATATAGAGCTTGTTAAAGATATTCAAAGCACATATAAATCATGTGGTAAGATTAAAAAAATACTGGTTTGTTATAAATTTACGCCACACCTATATTTGGAAATATGATATTATAATAATCTACAAGGACAGAGGTCCACAATTGAAAAAAAAAATAGGTGTCATTGCCCTTAGGATACAAGACACATTCCCAGGATACCTACTGTACATGCCTGTTCTATCTTTTCAGACTTGGCTTTCCTAGTTTTCTTCAACAACTTAAATACTGGTGGATTTGCTGAAAAATTAAAAAAAACAATTTTCACTTTAAAAGATACAGCCAAATCTTCAGTCATTATTGTAATGCAAGAATAAACCACAAAAGCAAAGTATTGTCCTCCAATACAATATTTCATAACTTTGTATCATGAATCTTGTCCCTATCTATGAAATAATGTTCAATATCATATACAGACAATATTTTATACACATATAATTTGAAGTTTTGTCTTGTTAAGAGGAGGTTAACCAAGGTGATTTATAGTGTATATTGAGACAATAGATGGAATTTTGAAGTTTATATAAACAATTAATATTTTGGCTAATTTTAATAATGGTATTATAATTAAGTTGTTCTATTTGATTAATAATAACAAACAAACCTGCTTAATTGATTTATGCATCAGTTGATGGTAAATGACTTATTTTTCAGGAAAAATATTTTCAAAAGTCCAGAAACACTCACAATTTTTTGGCAGAGGATCAGGCCATTAAATTTCTCTTTTGAATAGTTGTAAATTTCTGTGTCATTTGGTCTGTTGTGAAGAGATATCTCATTGGCAATCATACCACATCTTCTTATTTTTAGAAAAAATATTTTCATGGACAGTATTTCAGTGAAATATTGTCCAGGAGGAGGTGACAAAATTTCATGGACAAGGACAGTATTTCATATTAAATGAATTATTGTCCTGGACAGTATTTCATTATGAAAAAGTGTCCACTGACAATTTTTTATGATTTTTTTTTCCGACTGGCAATATTTCAATTTTAGGAACACAACAACAGGAAGTGGATGAGCAATAAATCTGAAAATGCCTCACAGTATATCCATAAGTATCATAAGGACAAACAAGAAAATGAAAACAATTGAATAACATGAACTTCAAGTAAATGTGGACAGGATAATCATCTTACTAAGCATGGTTTAAAAATGTTTTTGAGTAACTATTGCTAAAATATTCGTAAGCCAAACAAATTGTTAACTTTCTATGTCATATGGTAGAATTTTGCCACAGGCAGATTTAGGGGGGTGTGGGCACACCCCCTCCCCTTTTATGGGAAAAATTTGGTTGATTATATAGGGAATCACTGAAGCATGACTGAAGCGGGCCGCCTCTTATGAAAATTTCTGGATCCGCCACTGGTTGCCTGAATGGCAATCGTACCACATCTTCTGATTTTTTAACCAATAAGGCCAAGTAAAAATATATGTGTGGTTCTGCTTTCATGAAAATAACAATAGGGTTGGTAGGTCAGGATTTATTTTGTTGTTGTTGAAAGGTATGATATTCAGTCCAAGTTAGTTGGAAAACAGGAACCACACATATATTCTATTTTGGTCTAAAAACCAAACCAGATTTCTTTGCTTTTTCTGAACTTGGTCTCCATTCTTCATCTGAATCTGTATCATCTACATGTTTGACTCTTCGTTTCTTCTTTGACCTCTGCATAAATGTTGGTTTCTGGGCTAGAATATAATTTATATAAAATAAGAGTGATTATCGCTATTTGACAATATTTTCCTTTGATCTTACTAACTGATAATTTCCTTTCTCAGCACAGTTGAGTAATATGAAAAATTATTGCTAGTAACTAAGACCTGCCATTGTCAATGCAAACATAAACGTCGCCATAAGCAAGATAGCGATAAACAGATTATCATCGGTCAACTAAACTTGATTGCTTTTCTCACTTTCGCCATACCGGCTCAAGCGAGAAAATCAATCTCGTTTAGACAACTAATGATAATCTATAATTATTTGTTAGGGTAAAATTCAACTTTCAGCACTTTTAGCTATCTAGTTGTGATCAAGTTTTTTTTAGATGAAGGTAGTTGGAGTGCCTGGGGACAACCACCTTTAGCTGGAAAACTTGACAATCCAAGTCAATCAAGATTGGAGTCAAACCAACCTGATACATGTATGTGTTTAAACACTAGACTTGGGACTGATGGACAGATGGACTGAGGTTAACCAGTCTATTTTCAGTTACTGTGACCTTGCATGTTTATGCAAGTCGAAATTTCTGTCATCATCGACATTGACATTTATGTGACAGACATGTAGTTTTGTTAAAATTTTCATGCTTTTCAATATATGTTGTGAACAAATATTATCGTACTGGTGCAATCAGATATAAAGCATTTGATTTAGGATCATGACACCAAAAAGGAGGGGTGGTATAGGGGTTAAAACATATACACCTCTGCTATTTTGTAACTTATGTTATTACAGTTGAATTATCTTTTTACGTGATAAATTCAGTAATCATAGCAACGCATCAAATAATAAAATGATAACTTCAATTGATATACCCTTAGTTCTAATGTCAAAGAAATGGTAATTTATAATATGTTTTAACTACTTGTAATGTTTGCACTTGACAATTTTTCTATTTTGTTGTTTTTTTTAGGTGTCCAGAAAACATATCAGACAGTTTTAATTGAACAATGAATTAATTAAAACCAAAATAAATAACAAGTGAAACTGCGTGCTACTGCTCACTGATGATACCCCCTCAAATACTTGACGGTAAACAGGAAGTTGTTGGGTGACGAATCTGAAAACACATCACACGGTATAGCTGACTAATTTAAACCCTGAAACCAAATTTCAGAAATCCTTGTAATGTAGTTCCCTCAAGAAAAATGTGACGAAAATGTTCAACTTGGATGTCATATGTAAAATGATGCAAGTCTTTCGGTAAACAGGAAGTTGTTTAGTGATGAATCTGAAAATGCATCACACGGTTTAGCTGACTCATATAAACCCTGAAACCAAATTTCAAAATTCCTTGTAATGTAGTTCCTAAGAAAGATGCGACAAAAAATTTTCATGGGACAGACGGACGGATTGACTGACGTAAGGATGGACAGAGCCTGAGAGGTAAAACAGTATACCCCCCACTTTTTTAAAGCGGGGATATAAAAAACAGTAGTGACACAAAGTACTCAAATTTAACTACAACTGTGTTGGTAAAAACCAATGTATTGCTATAATAGACAAACCTATATTCTTTTTGGATGAGCTTGGTTTCCAATTGTCTTCGGAAGCAAAGTCTGTATGTTTTGCTGATGGGGTTTTAATTTGTTTCTTCATAAACTCTGGCTTCTGTGCAGGCAGACCTGTCAAAACAAATCAATAAAATATCTAAAATGAAAAGAATCCTCACGTAAATCTTATTAATAACAAAAATGTTATGCGACTAAGATAATGTCAATTAAAACTGAAACTGATAAACAGAAAAGATCCATTTTGAAATTAAGGACAATCTTGGAACACCACGTTCAATGCTTAGAGACTTACAGATATCAGTAGTCACCAGATCAATATCTAAAGCCCACCAGTATTTTTGCCAAAATTTTCTTATGTGTCTAAACAAAATTTGGCAAATATAGTCCGAATATAGTTTTACTAGATGGGGCATCGAAAAGTGGCTAACAGTGCAGATTGAAAGTTGATATGTGTTGAATAGAAACTATGTGGATCAAAATGTGTGTCTATATTCATTATCATTTAAAGATTATAAGCTAAAATTTTTGAAAAAGTAAAAAATTGACATATTATGTGGGTTTTTTTTGTGCGTGCATGTACTGATTTCGTGTCATGGATGGATACCCCATATCCTTTGCTTTTCTATTATATACCAAAGGGTTAAAAAATTTGTTACAGTTCTCCACCAGAATTTTACTAGTCCTGTTGGAAGAACTGCTACCCCTGCAAAATAATCTGATCATATCAATCAATGCACCATACTTCCTCAGTACCCCTTTATGCTTATTGAAAGTCTCAGCATGGGCAATATACAATGTCCCCCAGTAATGAGAAATCTATATGCTATCAATACATGATACCTGTCCACCCAGTTATTCATTCTATGTCTAAAACATGTATAAAATCAGTTCCAAATCCTGGAAGCCTGTATGCAGTTATTAAATCCACCGAGATAAAAATAGTAAGGAAGGGCTTTTCCGCTTTCTATTTTAAGAACGCCAATATTTTATTTTACTAGTCTTGTCGGGCAATAATTGGATTTTATGTTTTGATTGCCCGAGGCATTAGTGTTCTAGCCCCAGGTTTTCGGCTTGTGGATTTTTTTAACCCCCGTCTAGTATAGCTTTAAGATTTGTTAAAATAGAAATTATTTAGAACTGGACTTTCTGAGCATTTCATCTTTGTCATATTTTCTCTTTTCTGAGCATTAAATATCCTTATCTGATTTTCTTTATATATGAATAAATCTATTATAATTCATAGCTTATCAAGATACAAGATAATACATATATGCATTTTACCCTTATGTTCTATTTTTAGCCATGGTGGCCATGTTTGTTGACTGACAAACAAATAAACCTAACACAACATTATCCTAAATACCCTAAAGTTGCAGTTGTAATCAAGCATACCCATTTTAACCATCATTTCATAATTCTTTTTCATATTTCTATATCTCAGCTTCTCATAATTAGATAAGCTGGCCATCTGGGTCTTGGTGAAGTATTGTTCAATACCCCCTGATCTTTCATCCTCTTCAAATTTCCTAAAATCGCTTTGCTCCATATTGGCAAGTTTTGGTATCTCCTAAAAGAAATACAACAATACAACTTCGTACTAATCAAATAATATTTCGGGCAAGGCATTGTACTCAAACTTCCAGGCATTAAGGTCATAAAAATTTCAATAACATTTTGTACTCACTCAGAAATCAACCAATTAACATACTTACTGGATTGAGCACAACTTTAAGTTTGATGCCTAGTTGACTTGTATGATTCATATTCAATTTGGCGTATTGGCATGTTTTATTTCCTTTATTTTTAAAACTCTTGTTTAACTAATATTATTAGTGATTTCCAAGATAAGGATGAGATATTAAAATTGTTATATATAGATTCCATCACTGCAAAAAGTGTATAATTAGTTATTTCTCCACTCAAGACTAGCCTGGTGCATGTGTAGTGTAACGTTCAGTTAGACGTCACGATTTTTGCATAATGTCTAAGTTTTTAAAACGCTATTTTAGTTCTTTTCCCGTTTAAATGTGTTTACGAAAATTATACCAATCGAAAGAGCATCATTTGTAGATTAATATCATCTGTTTTTTATTCAACATTTGTACATAAACACTTACCTTCCGAATGTTTAAACTCGGCGACGTTTCCGAAATTTATACGCGGTATGATAGTTGGACAGCGTAAATTTAGAACGATCTCGAGTTCTGACTAAATTTGCCACCTCCGCCCGTTTGTTTAGACATTTAAAATTAACATAATATGAAAGCGCATATTTTAAGCTTTATTTTCGTATAACTTTCTTGAAGATATTATAGCTTTATCAAATTTTAAAATTTTAAAAACAATTTCATTTAAAATTTTCAATATTTATTTTATAAAAGTATTTGATGAAAGTTATACGAGTAAAAAATTTAAAACTAGCTCTTTTCAAACAGTAACTAGTCAAAAGATGCGAAACTAAAGCGATACTGACTTTACTTCATTGAAAAAAGGTCACGACCTTCAAAATTTTCTGAAAGTCGATAACGTTCCAGATCAAAATGAATTCGATTTCTGTAGCAGCAGCGCAAATAAATGGCGTGTTTAAATCACTAGAAGACGCGTGTAAACGTGAAAACATAGGTAATTTAGCACAGTAATATACGGATAAATGTTTCTTTGCTAAAATAAAGAACTTACGGATACCGGTAACATGAATGAACTACGTGAACTATTTATAAACAATACGAAAATCAAGTTTCACTTTCGATTTTACGCAATCCTCTGTTGAAAAACTTATATAAAATAAATTTTCTAACATCAAAGAAACTAGATATTTAAAATGAAACTTGATAAATTATTCGAAAAAACTTCCTAGACATAATTCAAGAAAAAATGTGAACTTAACTGAAATAAAAGGCAATAGGGGGGATGGGATTTTTTTCTTGAAATGTAGGTTCCTTTTTTTTGTTTTTCAGATAAGAATTATGCTTTCCTGATTAGATATTTAAAATAAAAATACAAGTTCTGCTTGATAAAAACATTCAAATAAATTTCGAGAGAGAGAAAAAGTGAACTTAAATGAAATTAAAGACAATTTAATATCCTAAATAGAGGGGTAGGGGATTTTTCTTCTTCACAAACTGTAGGTTCCTTTTTTTATTTTTCAGACATAAATTATGCTTTCGTGATTCAGTTACGAGATATTCTTCGGTACGAACAACAAAATATACAAGAAAAGTTACCGGGTCTTCTAAAGAAAGTAAACTCAAGAGTAAAGATACCAAGTAAAATAAGTGATTTGATAAGGAAGATAGAAAACAAGTTTGATAAAGCAAATACAGAAGAATTAAAAGAAAAAGTTTTAAGAGAAGTTCTATTGTTGTCAGAAGATTCAACCGTCATAGGAATTCATTGTTCAAAATTCAGAATTTTTTCAAATAATTTGTATACTTTTGTTTGTGGTCAAGTCACTAATGGTGTTGTATATGAACTTGAAAAGTTTCGTAGCTCAAATAATTACACTTTCGCAGAATTAACAAAGTGGGTTCATAATATAATGGGGCTTAAAAGCGAAACTTTTTCAGAACATGCAATGCGTTACTCTGTTAAATGTTTATTAAAAAATCATTTAGATATGAGTAGAAAAGGCTATAGCTTTTCAGAACATTTTTTAAATGAAACGTATACGTACCCAAAAATGGGTACTAATAAAGCAAGCTCAACAGACATATTGGCAGAGGGTTGTGAAAATCCTAAGTGTTCAAAACAGAAAATAAAAACATTAAAGTGCTGTCAACAAATTCAAAATTTAAATTACCAACTTCAACATGAAAAAGAAGAAGTTGAAGAAGAACTTACACAAGAATATAAGGAAAATCAGCAATTACCTGATCAACTAAGTAAAATCATAAAAGATAAAACAATATCAGACAAAGAACTTTCAGACTTGAAACAAAAATATGAAACTGTTATAAACAAACTTCAAAAGTATAATACTAGGAACATTAACAAAAAAATTCAGAGAAGAGACTCTAAATTAGAAACAATAAACAAAACTTTAACAAATGAAAAAGAAAAATCTTCCTTTATGGAAGAAAGCGTTATGCAAAGAGAAAAAGAAATCTTAGTTTTGAAAGAGGATAAAAGAAATCTACAAAAAAAAATATCATATCTTAAGTCCAAACCAGAACTTTTTGAAAATAAACAGAATGAAAATATTTCTAAATTGCGCGACGAAAACAAGGAACTTCAAGAATCGAATGCCATCCTACAGGAAATAATTGAAGAATGCACAAAAATACCTATTTTTAAGACAAGAAAAGATGGGTCGCGAGAGTTTTGTGATGAAATGAAAAAAACATATATGGAATTAATATCATTAGGTGTTAGCTGTAACATGTGCAGCAATGTAATTAAATCAGTCATAAAAAATATGACTGGTCAAGAACTGAATGATATGCCAGAAGTTACATTTGCAAAAAGAATGGCTCTGCAAGCTAATTTGATGGCAAAATTTCAATTGGCAGATACTATTTTAAGCAAGGACTCTGCAAACACGTTACAGTTTGATGGCACAAGCAAGTGGGGGGAACATTTTTTTACTTTTGACATAACAACTTCAGAAAAAACATATTCAGCAAGTTTGATGGACTTAGCAACAGAAAACAGTGCAACACAATTAAATGCAACAAAAGCATTGTTTAACGAATTAAGTGAAATTTATGTATCATTGACTAATGAAAAAAATCCTGAAATACTAACAAAAGTCATTAGCAAAATGGTAAAAACCATTCATAATACTATGAGCGATAGAGGTCCAACAAATAAACCTTACGTTAAGCTGTTTGAAGAATGGCGAAAAACATTATTACCCAAAGCTTTAGAAAACTGGGAAACTTTAAATGAACAATGTCAGCAATCAGTTATAGAAATTCATGATTTTTATTGTGGATTACATTTACTAACAAATTTTGCTGATTATTCTAACAAATCGTTGAAAAAATTTGAAGAAATTTGTACAGCAGAAAAAATTGGAATGAAAACTTTATCCCAATTTAGTAACTGGGGTACAAGGAGTGAGTCTGCTGCTCAAAGATTAATACGCTCGTGTTGTAACTTATTGCAAATACATGGTTGTGAAACTGCTGGTAGGCCACAGCAATTTAATGCCTATTTATTTGAAAATGGTTTAAAAAATTATCTTGTACCTTTCCGTGGGAATAGGTTTAACATTTTATTTCAAAATGCAAGAGCAGTATATGGTCATTTGACACATATACAAGATTTTATTGAAATGTATGGGACAGGTAATAATCTGTTACTATCTGTAAATGCTGACATAGAATCCAAAATTGCCCTTGCTGGTGTTAGAGCTCTTGGTTTAACGGATGTCCATATCAATCGTCCACTTTGGAAACTTCTTGATTGTAATGATGTGTCTATATTAAAGTGAAATGTCACAGTATTACCAAAAGTTACATGATAGTATTTCAAATTTAGTACAAGATTCTTCTCCAATGTTTGATGAAAATTATCAAATGTTTGAAAATTACCCCCCCGAAAAAGATTTGTTTGGTTTCTTTGCTTTACATGCTGTGGACGAAGACAGCGAAGAATTGGATGTTTTAACGACACAGGCTTTAGAACTTGTATTGGCCAGTATTTTAAGCGTTATTAAAAGGCAGTTAGTCGATCACTTAACTGGAGGGAAGCATGCTGATCCCAATGAGGATTTGATGCTGATTAGTCAATCTGTTCCTAAAACAAATCAATCGAATGAATCAAATTTTGGTCAGTTAGACAGAATTAAAAGATTCAAACCTAATGCAACCACGGCTCACATTGAAGGAATGGTTTTATATGTTAATAATAAAACTTCTGATTGGCTTGACACTCAATCTAATGAGGCTGATATTATGCAAAAAGTATCTAAATTGTTGCCAAAATTTATAGAAAAGTGGCGACAAAGATCCAAAGATATAAAAAACAAAAGAATTGAAATGTTACAAATAAGAGCCGATGAAATCAAAAGAAAAAAAATGAAAAAAATTGCAGAGAAACAGAAGATAATAGATAATATATTAAGATATGGACAATGCAAATCTGAAACTGATGTTAAAAAACTTCTATCAAAATTTAAAACTTCTCACATGAAAATTGTTGCTTTAAAATTTCAGTTAAAGTACTATAAATGTGTTTTAAGTTTTGAAGCAAATAATGTGTTGTACAGGTTTTCAACTGAAGGAAAGGCATTAAGTATAGACATGTTAAAAAACAATCTTATCCAAATAATCCAAAAGTATTCTTGTAACATACATGTTGGTGTAGAAATTGACTTGGATGTCCCTAGGAAAGAAGAAAATTTAAGACCATTAACAGAAAGAAATCAATTATTAAAGTCAGAAAAGGACAATTTGAAAAATGTCAGGGTTGTGAAAAAACAAAGCACAGTTTTAAACATAAATCGTGAACATAATTCCAACAAAACAAATAATTCCAACAAAACAAGGAAACGTAAGCTAGAAAATGAAAAGGAAGTAACTTCAGCTGTTAAAAAACATAAGAGAAGCCATGATGTCAAAATCAATGCAAATATGACTTTTATTAGCAATTACAAAGATTTCAAAGTAAATCAGTGGATTGCTGTCACAGGTCTTTCAGATTGGTACATAGGTCAGGTCGAAGAAATTTTATCAAAAGAAACTGCTACTGTAAACTTTATGGAACGGTCTAGTACAAATACATGTACATTTAAGTGGTGTTCACCACCAGCAGTTGAAACTACTTATATTAAAACTGTTATTCACTTTGATTTTGATAATGAAATCGGACCAAATGATTCTTCTCTTCGATCATGGAAGCTGGAAAAAAAATGTTTACAAACAATCACTACAAAATATAGAAATTACTGCTCTAGTTCTAACTGAATGTGAAAGTCTAGTTTTTTTGTTGATAGTGTTGTGATGTTCTTCTTACTCACAGGTCTTATTTATAGTTAATTATTAATAAATTTTTGGTAATTCAATTTTCTGATTTTAATATGCATTTTTTTTGAGGTTTTGCATTGAAAAAAATATTTGAAAAAAGGTGACAATTGACGGTACATGCATAACCACAAAAAACAAAAATATGCTAACTTTACATGTGTTTTGAGAACTCTTGAATATACTTAAACATTGTTAAATGAAATGAAATACTCAAAAAGTCGTTAAAACAAAAAAAATTAAAGATGCAATATATTTGCAAATGAGACAACCATCCACCATCTACCAGAGTCAGTGACCTAGATCTATCAGCATACAGCCTTCAACAATGAGTAAACACAATACTACAATTATTGTATCAATAAATGTCACTCAGTCAGTGTTTCTTATATTCAAGTTGTTAAGATTCATTAAGGATGTATGAAAATTTAGTCTTAATAACTTGATATTTTTTCATTTTCTTTACAATTTCAGAATTTATACTGTTGCTATGGAAACAAAAATACATATATTATTATATTTTATAAGCATTTTCAACTCTAAATTTGTCATAACAATAGTCCTCATCTTTTGTAATACAGAAAAGTTTCCACGTTTCTAATTTTTATCATTTGAGAAGAAATTTTCACGAAAATATGAAATAAAGCTTTCTGTTGCCATGGTAACTGAATATTTAATAATCAAATATCAGAAAACAACAGCAGAAATTAAACCCCTAAACTTGTTTTATCAAGAAACTAATAATTCCTATAAAAAAACTGACTTCTGTGGGTACTATTGCAAGTTAAAAGCCTTCAAAGCAGTTATTTTCATGTTTTTCTGTTTCGTTACCATGGTAACTATGGATTTTTTTTTCAATTTCCAACAAAAAAAATTTCCATTTTCATACTCATTTAAGGTACTTATATTTCTTTATATGTATTTAAAATTTTACATCAAAAGGTTCAGGCATTAAAAAGTTCTGTTATTTTCATTATTTGATTTTGGCTTTTTTAACTGTTTTTGGTGCCATCTTACTGTACAAAAATTATCATAGAAACGGTCTAAAAATATAACATATTCAACACTTTCAAAATGTCGTACCTCAAAAACTATACATCCAATCTCCATGAAATAAAATGTAGTTTATTTCTTTTTAAAAGATCTTTCTAATGCATTAAAGATCATTTAGATATGACTGATGAAATATTTTGCTGCACCAGGCTATCAAGACTGTTAAATTCAAATATTTAAAGTGCGAGGCTTGCCTAGCTTTTTAATAATAAAAATTTAACTGTTGAGAGTGGAGAAATATCGTAATACACGAGTTATAGTGGTGGAATCTGTTACTCTAATGATTTTTATCCTTCCTTTTCAAAGATTTTCAGAAAGTTGTGTTCTTTATAAGTCATGCAACAGCGCACTCACAGAATTGCTACTTAAAAAATTATGGTCTACTGCTACTCAATCATATTTAACATGTCTAAAAGCATGAAGATATAGTGTAAAGTGCTATTTTTTTAATCGATTGCAAATTCACAGTTTTTTAAATACAAGTACTCACAAAGTTTTTCTTCATAATTCACAGTTCTATCGTCTTTCCTGATTAAATCTTTGATATGAAATAAAAACGAAATATAAGGAATATAGCTTTAACAACACACATTTTAAAATAGTCATAAAAATAAATAAACTGAGAATTCAAATATTATAAATAGAAAACCATATTTTTAATCTCAAGTTCTTTTTCCAGTCTGTCAAGTCACGTGACATTGCACTAATATGTAAACCAAAGTGAAACATGCATTTTTAATTTTAGTTTCTTGTGTACAATTTGGAGTTTAGTATGGCGTTCATTATCACTGAACTAATATATATATTTGTTTAGGGGCCAGCTGAAGGACGCCTCCGGGTGCGGGAATTTCTCGCTGCATTGAAGACCTGTTGGTGGCCTTCTGCTGTTGTCTGTTCTGTGGTCGGGTTGTTGTCTCTTTGACACATTCCCCATTTCCATTCTCAATTTTATTTAATATCTACCCTTTAAAAACAAATAACCTTCCAGAGCTTAATTATCAGGTAGGCACCTGCCTAAGCGGAGGCAAAAAAAATAGTACCCATGTTCCGCCTACATGCTGAAATGTCTCACATGCTTGACTGACCATTGATTTTTATGTTGATAGTTTTAATTATAAAGTTTTACTACATAAACTTACCATGATCAAAGATATGAGGTCAGGGTCAGATAAACCAACCAAGAAATACATGTACATATTTAATAGGCCATATGTCTGTTTACTGGCACTTGACCAACCATAATTTGAACACAGACCCTTATAGCCATTTTATTCCCACCAAAAAGTGAAAAATTAACTAACCTCATATCAAAAGGGAAACTAGAGTTGGCAGTCATGCCAATAGAGTTTATCAATTGCTTGATCAATGTTGATACATCTCAATGTTCACAATCCTGAATATGACAGCTGTTTTAAGGAAACTTGAAACACATGTCAGAGATGAAATAAAAACTTTGCAGTCATTTTTTTCACAAACCAATAATCAAAGGAAATAATCCTATCATTAGAAACGTGGATGAACTTAATTGGCCAAGGGACAACTGCGACCACAGTAAGACAAATCGACCAACTCAAAATCATGTTAAAAAATTTAATTTTAAAATGGAAACACAGATCTACTAACCATATAATGATTATTATTATACCTTACATTATATGGTAATTATTTGATTGGCTAATACGGAATCACGTGTCATAGTTTAATTTCGATTTTTTTCCAAAAATTGGCAGCAGTGTTCTAGGATTTTTATACATATGCAACTTTCCACGGAAAAGTTGGTATCAATAAAAATTTACTTTCCCACAAGTTTAATGAACTTTGCCTGAATTTTATACTATTCTAAAAATGTTTTCATAATTTTGCTATTCCTTTTATCGCTTAATTGTTTATAGATGAAGTTCGATTTGAAATTATGAACACTGTTATTTCCTTTGAAATTAATTAGTTTGTCTAACTAGCTTGTGATTGTCTTGATAATTCAATGTCATGTTCATCTAGATATACAAAATATTTGATAGAATATATGGCGTATTTATGACGGTGATCGCAAAACACATGTGCACGTTTTTCTCCCCTAGACTTTAGAACCCCTACATGATTTACACCAACAACAACGATCTCGCTTTGAGACTTTGATTGAAATAAAAGAATACATTCAAACGGTTACATCAATCGTTTGATCTGTATGAATAGGAAGTTTCTGTAATTTAATTTTTCTTGCCCAGGGACAACAAAGGTTTGAATTTCCACTTTTCCGTAACCTAAATCAACTTGCCAAGGTTGACGGGAAATGGGAATTCTAGAACACTGAGGAGCGATGAATAACCCCAACAAATTGAAGCCTCCATCGAACAACCATAGTATTTACTCTATTAACGACTGACAGACCTACACCCTTCTTACATGTACACCATGTACGTTTACCATAATTAATATACAAATTAAATACAAAATTAATTTTGCCGACTAGCCCGTCAAGTACGCTGGACGCCGGAATTTATTATAGATATATACAACATATATATTTATATAACAAATATTTCAAACATTGTTTGAGTAACCATCTATACATTTATTAATCACTGATCATTTACAAATAACTGAAGAAAGTTCCTCCCCGTACCAACGGCCAAGACACGCTCAGGAAAAACCAGAGATAAAACCATATAGTATTTGATGGTCCTAAAATTTCTGGAAACCTGTGTTCTCTAGCAAAAATATCTTTCGACAGACAGTCTCATAGGGACAACACGAGAACTTACGTTGATAAAGAACTTTCATTCCCAATCAAAATATACACTTATAATCTGTATAACATTTTAAAATTTAAATTCAGAAAATAAAAATTACACTACGCATACAACTTTGCGATATTAAATTTATTATCCAAAATGTAATTTTGTTGTGTAGTCGCTTCAAAGGACGGCTTGAAAGTGTGATACATTTACATGTATACCTTTTACTTGTAATCAATCCTGATTGGACAATACCTTTTTTACAAACCGTTAATACAGACATTTTCATGCTATTACTAGCCGAAACGCAGGAAAATTCATTTATTCCCAGGTGAATAACCCTTGTCATACCTCAATGATCACGAGTTAACTCCCTTTAACCCTTTCGCCGATGAGTCCCGGTTTACCGGGATTCACGCTTCAGACAGCTGACGATGAGTCCCGTTTTACCGGGATCAGAATACCTCTTTTATATTTCCCGCTCAAAACAGTGCAAACACGAGTTATCTTTCTTTGTTGAATACCCGGATGAAAGTGAAAACATGGCGTTTCCGTTTGTTGAAAACTGTGTCAAAATCAGAGGAAATTTACGGAATTTACGAGAATTTAAAATGAGGGAACATTTTTTTTGAAAGAATATGGAAGAATTGAAGCCAAACTAGTATACTTTTTTGACATAAAATGTCGTTTTATGTACAAAACACTTGGAATGGACATCGTTCAGTGTAAGGAATTTGTACAGCCTCATTAAATTTTTTTAAATTTTGCCGTTTTGGGTCAAAAAGTAGAATTTTGAGAATTTCACCTAGATAATGCCGAAAATTTGAAAATTTGAATATTTTATGAAGAAAAAATTATCAAAACATGAACAAAACTGTGAACATGGTGTTAGTGAATGAAATAAAGACACAAAATACTACAGACAACTTTTTATTGACATTTATTATGAAGATCTCCCACTTGAGTAATAGTAGCCAGGGAAGCCATCGTCTCAGAGTAGCTTCTGTCTGGGCAGCTATCGGTGAAAGGGTTAAAGTATGACGTCACTTAACGTCAGATAAACAAAAACAAATATGGCAATTTGGAAATTTATCTAGTGTGGACGATATCTCTTGTAAATGGCCCTTTTTAGGGCCATCTCAAAATTTTACAGAAAGAGTCTACCTTTGTTGTACATACAAAAAAAGTTTTCTAACACAAGTGTTTTGACAATCTGCTAAAACATTTTACTTTTAATTGTTTGTTTGGTATAATAAAACAGTTAGGCCAATTAAAATTAATTGATAGATTTTCATCCCCGCCCGCCCCTCTGAAATCGTTCCGCCCCAAATTTTTTTATTTTGAAAAATTTACGATTTCCGGATTTTGTTCATTTTCGTTACCGGTAACTGTCGATAATTTCGTTTCATTAATAACATCCTGTTTCAAATTTTGGTTTTTGCATTTCTCTGTATCTTTGATTCGTTATACATGTATATACATGATAGAACCTTATTATTACACTTGCATATATGAAGAACACGTCACAAGAGCGTTTCATATCTAATAAAAAATAAAAAATAAAATCCTCCCACCCACCCCATTTTTTTCAAAAATTTGGATGAAAATCTACTAATTAAATTTACTTGGCCTTATATTGAGCCAGTGATCGTCTCCAAACCCCCCTAGAAAGCATCAGCTGTATGCCCATCAGGGGTTAAAAAATCCACTAGCCCGCACCCGGGACTAGACATTTACACCTCAGGCAATCAAAACTTGTAACCCAGTATGCCCGGCGGACTAGTAACAAAAAAATCTTGGCGTTTCTAAACTAGATAGTGGAAAATCCCTTCATCACTTTTATATCTTAGCCAATCAGATTCATTTACGTCATCCGGGATTCCAAGAATTTGAACTGGTTTGTACAGGTCCTCATGCACAGTAACTTGTTTTAAAAATAGAACAAATAAATCAGGGTGGCCCGGTAACATGTATTGATCGCAATTCTTGCACTTTCAATATCAATTTCTAATTATAGGGGATATTGTGCATTGCTTCTGTTGAGTTTTTCAATTAACGGTACCGGGGGTATTGTGTATTGATCGGTATTGATCTGTCTTGTCGGACAACTGTTCATGCAGTGAGCACGGAACAATGTCAATGCAACAAAATATATCAATTTGAAAATATTTTACTACGCGGCCTAGCCACAATCAGATGTACATTTCATATTAGGTCTATGTTATAGGCTTCTATAGACAAGAAGATGAACTTAATTTAAGTATTACATCTTTGAACTGAAGGAAAGAATATAGGGCTTCAGGGTTCACAATGCATATCAAATATCATGTATATGTGTGACCATTTTGAAAAAAAAACACTAAATACACGCTAAAAATGGGTAAAATTTCACGTTATGTTGTTTCATTTAAAAATACACTGTTTTTATCAATTGATAGTTAATAAGTGAACCTAATTTGAACTACATTATTGGTTCACTGTTATAGACAATTTATTCATCTTTCTTTTGCTGGTTGTTGCAACGAAAAATCTTCAGTGGTTACAAAGTTATGATAAAAAGTGGAATACTATGCGTTCGTTATGCAATTTTGTATTTTTGTTTTTACCTTGTATAGTGTAGTAATAAAAGAGAAAAATAAATGAAATTTATGCTATTATGTGTTTTGTTTTCTCTTCTTGTATATGAATTATCAACAACTACCTCATATATCTATATTGCAGTACCCTAGCTGGAGATATATGCCATCTAAAATGGATATACAAATAAAGTGAAAAAATGTCTTGTCCGTAGACATGCATTTCC